AAAATAGAATACGTAGTATTGATATAATGTATCTCGATAAGTTGACGTCAATAATAATGGTGAAAAAACTTTTATCCTACAAATGGTTTCAACAGAAAGGAACATGTTGTGGCGGTTCAGACTTAAAGAAAACATGAACAGCATGGAATGACTGAAATATAATGATATCTAAGATTTTCGCGAGTTTTATTAATTTTAATGAAACTAATATTTTTCAGATATATGTACTATGATTGGTTTATTTTTGTAAAAAAAAACTACATACTCGAGACGTTTCGGCTACTTGAGTGAATATATAAATGACTGAAAGATATTAAGGAAATATTAAACTGCTAACTGTGTCTTGGAAGTTATACTATATGACCTACTTGTAACTAATAGATGCTGATCTGGATATGATGATATCATTTTATTTTAAGAAACTAACCTGTGAAAGAAATGCTAGATAAGCGACCACATCATTTGTAATACTATCATTATAACGAGTAACTCGCTGCTTAGAAGTCGAAGCCCGAAGTTATTTTTGTAGGGACACGTTAGAAAACTTAAAAGGAGAGATAAGGTTGGTTTAACATGAGCTTTTGTAATAAGTGTAATTGTTGAAAGTAATCGCTATATAGAATCAGGCAGACGAGATGAAATTGTATGGCAGTTGGTCGTGTTATTTGTCATCTACAGCCGTGATCATGAGTACTGCTAAATAACAAAAACGTCGGTAGTATCTAGTTTAAAATATAAAAAAATCTATTCTACATGACAAAATCCTTATTACAGAAATAGTATTAAGGTTTTTGTGTGTTGGTAATTATTATGAAAAAACTAGCGGCATCTGTATGTTGTTTATGATATTGCAACGTACTATCGCCTATTATTTTCCAAGAATTCGTTATTATAAAAGTCGTAAAATATGACGAGTATGCTCAGTTGTAAGTGTAATGTATGTTAAAAGCTGTTAACCATTAAACATTAAAGTGATACAAACCCATACAATACAAAATCAAAACATAGTGACATACTGCAACAGGATTAAATACGTATCAGTAAATTTAAAAGTACAAAAAAAGGACATGAATCAATTTGAAACACTCTGTTATCACAATTAATTAAGGTTCTCTATTTTTTATAAGAATAGGCTTTGGTTTTGCATTTTTACTTTTGGTTCCAGCGAGTGGAACATTGAAAACTTTTAATTTTTTTATTTCATTACTATTTTTACTAAGGAAAACATTTTACCAAGTCTAAAAACAGTTTAAATTTGTCATTTTAAAATATTTCAGCTTCATTTTACTCATTATTTTTTTTAAACACGTTATTATTTTTACTTTCTAATCCAACATATGTATGAGTAATAAGTGATATATTTAAAATGAAAATAATTTTTAGAAATGCTAATCATTTTTATTATTTTATTTAAATTGTAAGATGATTTGAATGTTGAAAATGGCGATCTTTATAATGAGACGTAAGTATTGTGAGCTTTCTCAACGCATTTTCAACTTGACTGCCCATTGATAATGAAGATAATAGATCATTTAACATAACTTGGAGATAATGGATCATTTAATTTATATAACGTAATGAGAAAAGAAAAATGTAAACTCACAATTATTTAAAATCATAATTTAAACATTAAGCAGGGGATGGAGTTAAGAAACACCTTATACAAATCCCGTTAGGTCATTCTAAGCTATCAAGCTTAAGTAATGGTCTCAATGACGTTCTTCTGAAACTTATACGTTCTTTGAAATAATACTAGACCTCATAGTACTCATCTCAATGATAGATAATCAGGTATTCATTTTTTTATTGTCGTTTCCAGAGCTTTCCATGGAAACGCTCACGTTCGGGAATTAGCCACAGTTGATCATCTAAATACGTCACCCGTTTCATTAATTTAGAAATATTTATTTATTTCGTGTAAGTACACCTCCAATACAATTAAGCTATGTTGCAGTGTGATAGTAATTCTATCACTGTTGACAAAAATCTTACTTTATGAATGAAATTAAAGACTCTCAAAAACAACTTTTTTCATTACTTTTTAGAAGTTTCATCACTTTGACATATGTGAAATAACAGGTCTTAATTTTTATATTTTACAAAATACAGTTTTATAAAGACAATGAACAAACAATTTACATATATCAATACCTTGATTGATATTTTATATTTTTAAAATGAAAATCAACAAACAATATCAAATATTGTTAGAGATTCCAACATGATGTGAGAAACATGAATCCTTTATAACTATGTCAGTGACAAATAACTCGCCACTTGGAGGAAGGATTGAGATATCTCTACAGAGGAATTTCAATTATTAACGATCTAATACAAGAGAAATGGTCACTGGATCTGTTATATTTATCACATCGTATACGTTTTCATTAAGACAATGTAAACATAGCTTGAATGACTTATCTTATGCATAAGCAATAATGTGTATATATTACATTTAATAAATGAAAATAAAGTAAATGTAAGTTTAATAGATTACATTAATTTATTCGCTGAGGATAAATTTATATTATAAAATGTTTGTTACACTTTTAATAAAATTATAAAGATGACTGTCGTTAACAGACCGTCCATAAAATTTTGATTGATTTATTATTTTATAATAATATATAAAACTAATTTTTATAAGGATTTTTTTCTTGTTTCATTTCTAACACAAAATGGACAAACAGATTTCCGTTAAATTTGCAAAAGTATTAATTTACAAAGTGTTTGTAGTAGATAATATAATATTTCCAAACTATGACGTAGTTTGAAATTGTCATAAAATAAAAAGTATTTTTGATTCTTTCAATAAACTGTCCATGTTATCCATATATATAAAAGAAAGTCGTGTTACTTGTTTTTTTTTTACTCAAGAACGGCTTCAGGGATATCGTTGAAAATTGGCAGGGCGATAGCTTAGAACCAAGAAACGGACATAGGATATTTAATTTTGTTTTTGTAAAAAAATTCCAATATCTGGTATATGGCCTCTAGGGCGGACTAGTATTCGCCCGGTCAGATATACATATTATCACTACATAATCACTAAATAGTCGCGGATAAAAACTGGTATGAATGTGTAACTTTCATACTCACTGTAAAAATAATAATCAACATAATGATCGTTTGATGCTTCAAGCAAATCCGAAGTAGCAGTTACACTCTTCTGGTGTATTTTGCCTCTCCTCTGGTTTCAAATAGTTTAGGCAAAAAAAAAACTATTACCGTGTTGAGCTCTCGATTTTAGGAGAGTATAGTTATAACTGGTATCGTATGAAATAAAGTTCATTTAAATGAATATAATCTTTGAAATATAATAACATACATCTGATATATATACTTTTCTAATGGAAGGAAAGATTTTTTTTTTTAATATTATCGCAAAAATAATATAAGTGGAATAAATTTTATTTTTAATACATTATTTACAAATCCTCGTTTTAAAAGTGAAGAAAAAAAATATTTATACATTTAATGACCATTTTTTAATTACAAAACTCCTCTTGCGGCTTGCCCTCTGTGTTTCATATAATCCAATTTTCATAAATTGGTAGTTTTTGAAGGCTACAGACAAAGATAATGGTCATCATAAAAAATGGCTTCAAGTTTTTAGTCAAGAGTTAAATTTTTCTTCTCAACAAACTGTAGTTAAAGTAATGTTAGATACAGATTATGTTGCACTTTATATATTTGACACCAAATGTTTTATCCCTAAGAACTTGGTATAATTCAAAGAACTAGTGGAAAGTAAGATAAATGTGACTAATAAAAATTAAATCTCGTCGTAAACATTCTTTCAAAACGAATTTTAAATCCAGAAATATTGATATTGCAAGTATTAATGATATCTAAAATATTCCAGTATACCCATTTACATAAAATGAAGTTTTTCGGATATTACGTTTTTGTATTATTTTGTAACTACATAATCCCGTCCTTTCGGTTAGCTTACAGTGACCGCGATCACGAGCTGACCATCACGAAAGTGTCACACTTTCATCTCGTCGACACATCGGTATTATGATTTATTAAACAATAAAAAAGCGTAGTATCCAAAAACCATAATAAAATTTACAGACACATATAAAGAAAAATGATGTTTATATCGGATAAATATCAGTAACAAATAAATATCACCCATGTAATATAATGAGAAACATGTTCAAATACAATTAATCCTGGTGCTATTCAATATGTTGTAATTTAATACAAAACCCGACAAATTAAACCGCTGCCAAGTATGTGTGAATATGTGACGGAACATATTAGTATTACTTAATTCACATGCACGTTGTTATTTACAAAATTTAACGTTGAACATTAATTTCTGATTAGTAAAAATATAATTATAATATTGGTTTTGGCAGTATCACCTTATTATGACATATGACTAGTGTTTATAAGTCAGTAGGTTTATGCGCTGTTATTACTGTATATTATAGGAAGATAGTTCATCTTTGGGGCATAAATTATGCAAGTGTAAAAGTTACAATATTATAATTATAGAAAGAAAGTTTATCAAATATTCACTCATTTATTAACTTGAATAATAAGATAGATGTTCATCGAAACAAGTCAATTGATGTATCAAATAAAATATTTATATGACACAAGTACATAGGTATATGTGGTTTTGCTTCCTTTAATAATAAACTTGTAATTAATAATATTACAATTAATATTGTATAAACACAATAACTCTGCCAGTCAATTATACAAATTTGACAATAATAAGTCCCTTTATACTAAATTTGGTGCTAAAGTTTTATACAGAACTCATTTCTTATACTGAATCTTACTGGTCATTATTTTCTTCAGTCTTAACTTCGTCAGACATACGAAACCGGTACTTCTTGGAGAGTAAATGAAATATCAATATTGAAATGCACATTAATCCAGCATAAATGAATGTTTGAGTTTCCTAAAAAATATATAATTAAACAAACGAAGACCATCGTTTATAGCCTGATATTATGATTCAATAACACTATGCTCACCTGTGAAAAATCGATAAAAATTCTTGTGATAACAATGATGATAATATTCCCTATAGCTTCAATTATCAACCAGGCAGCAGTCATCACTGACTTCATACTCTCCGGAGCCTCTTTGAATATGAACTCACTACCGGTAATCGCAAACAACACCTGAAAATTGCATTAACAATCAATTCTAACACCCTAAACAAACTTATAGTAGTTTCTTTATGCAACAGCTGGATTTCCTTTGAGTTATCTTGTATTACAATTTTGTACAACGTCCTTTTTGTCACTAAAACATCTTTTATACAGATATAATATTTACCTCGGCTATAGCGATCATCAGTAACTGTGGTAACAACCACGCCATTGTTATAGAGTTGGGTTGTGTTATAGTTACCATATTCGTTTCCTGAAAAATTTACTACTTTAATAAGTCTTATCTTTTCAAACAACCAATAAACATCGTTTCATACTAAAAACCAACATTGATTTTGATTAATTCCTAAAATATTGTAAGATCTTAAATAAAGGTTTGTTCACCAAATTAACTCACATAATTATTATCAACTTTGTCCATTATAATGTTATATACTCCACCATTATCCATTTTTATATTGCGAGCAATTATCGTATAACCATCTCTTATAGTATATTCTGCCATAAATACTTCCATTTGTGAACTAATTCCAGCGGACAGATATACCTCAACTTCTTTATGAATTTCATTGAAAAGACTCAAATTTGATTCAATATTATCTGTTAGGAGAAATCTGAAATACCAGTTGCTTTTAATAACATAGGCACTTATTTAATGTTATAATGTTACACACAAGTTGTTAAAAAATTTTGGGAGAATCTTTTAGTTTTAACTTAAACTGCATAGTTATTTTACTCATAAAAATTGATAAATACGTCAGATAAATACGTCATCATACTACAAAGCGTTCCCCGTTTTTCATCTAATAACCAACATTAATAGTAAGATGTGATAACATTTGTCAATGTACAACTGGAAACGGCTAGTATGTGGTGTCACTATCCAAAACTTGTTTTTCGCACACACATATATATTTACTTAAATTCTAGAAGTCAAATCTATTATTTGTACTATCATATCAAAGTTATTAAATTATGTGCTAAACCATATTTTTTGATAATTAATAATTCGATATTCTATCCTACGTTTTGAAGGAAATCTAAATAAAAATGGTAACTGGCATACAATGAGTTCGAAAATCCTCTTAACGTATAAGTTTCTGCTGACTTATTTTATTGTTATTGTTACAAAAGCTACGTAGAAAAAATCTAAAGATAAACAGTTCAGATCATTTGAAATTACCCGTGATTAAAGCATTTTCTTATTTTTATCTTTTTAATTAAGAAGACGAAATATTTTTCAAGACACGTTAGACGTTAGGCAGGGCCAATTAGGTAATTGTTACGACCTATTTAATGACGGTTGCCGACAAATTTCCCAAAATCGTTTTGGTATGGTCGGCATAGTAAGCACGCATGAGATAAGACTTAACGGCGCTTTTGATATTTCCCAGTCTTATACCCATACCTTATATAATACATATAGCTCTCTTTTATAGGTGTTTGCTATCGACTTATGCTTCATCAGTACTAATTATATTGACTTATATTGACCCCTACCAGTACAGGGAAGTGATTTGTTCCTTATGACGTCACATACATATATTTAGATGGACGTTAAAAACTCTTTGTTTTTTATACATTTTGTAACCTATTGATGGCATTATTGTATTTTGTATAGTTTAGTTGCTATGTTTGAAATGATTAAATGTTCCCAAAATAATAAACTAAGCATGAAATAAAGTTTAAAAATACATGATATTCGAATATTTATTATAAAAATCATAAAAAAAGTGTTTGTTTTCATCTCCTCTCAGATTATTTCTGTGGCTGGAGAGAAGTAAAAAGCATGGTGAACACTTACATGTATAAAAAAAACTAATAAATTAAGCGATCAATCTTCACTGGAGTATCTCTAGTGTTAATCAACTGCACAAATGCCTATTGTCTATTTTCTTAGCAATAAAAACTCACCTAACAACTGGTAGACCAGATTTACTTTTATCCACAGTCTCTGTAAACCTTTCAATATTATTGCCAGATATAAAAAACGATACAGCCATATTGTCTTCCAAAGAAAATATTTCATCTTGGGCTTCGATGCAGCTCCCATCAAATCTTAATCGAACCTCCGTCGTATTTTTCACATTCATTTGTTTGTTAGTGAAATGTGACAGAGATGGAATAGTATACATAATATTTTGCTGGACATTTTGAATTAATATTGAACAAGGGTTGCCGTTATAAATACGGAGTTGTGAAAATCCGGGTTCAGGCAGTACAGGGTCTGTTGTCTGAAATGTTACAGTTGTCGAAATGGTAAATATTAATAGAGAATAAACCTATGCATTCCAAAATAAACAGTTCGGAGGCTTTACGAAGCTTACTTTAATATAAATCTCTACGATTCCGGACATGACAAATGCTAACGCTGCCACCACTCCACCTAAAGTCAGCTTGTGTAGCGGATTTGTGAGTATCGAACGTGTTGTCAGAAACGGGTATACATACTGAAAGCAGAATTTTAGTAATATCACCATTTTAATATTGAATCATCAATCATTTTTTGACTTTAATATGTATTAGAAATATTGAAAGTTAACCTGTTGGAAGAGTGGGATGAGAATGAGAATAAATATAGTGTCAAATACAGGCAACTGATCTGGTTTGATTGTAATATATCCAAATCGACCGTCCATTTTAGTGGCTTGTAGCGTCCATCTCGAACCCTTAATAAAATTGTTACGTTAAGAGATTATACGGCAATTAAATGTTAGCTTCGTTAGCTAAGCTGCGATAATAACAATAGTTTTCAGTAATAGACTATGACTAATCTATTTTGATGACTTACAATATGACAACAAACGAACATGACATTAAGAATATTAAAATATCTAACTGTACTTACCAATTGGTCCAATAGTGCCCAAAACATTGGAAGAGTAGTGAACATTGTTAAGATAGAAATTGTCTTTCTAACATCCTGTATAAATCCTCTATCATACGTGGGTTCAGTGGAATCTAGCCAATTTTGATGTTCACTGTTCTTTCTGAATATTTTATTCCTAACACCCAACTTAAACAAAATCAAGATATAAAATTAACATATTTAAGTAAAAACAATGTATATTTATATCGAGCAAGCATTTGCTATTGCAATATGCAGGTGAGGTGATTTTTACAGTACTTTTTTATCAAAACTAACGGTTTTCTCCCCAATAATTAAACATTTACTATATATATCAAAAAAATGCAAATGAACATCAAAAGACTTATTATTTACATATATTTTATAATTTCATTACTGTAAGAACTTTTTTATTGCCGAAATAAATAAAATCTTTAAGGATAACTAAGATGTGGCCATTTTATTCGAAAAAACGGCAAGTTTTTAAAGAAACTTTACAAGTGTACTTTCAATATTTGAAATCGTAATAGCTTGTAACTTCGATGTCATCAAATTAAAATTGTTTTTTATTTCAAAATACATACCAATATGCATTTCACGAAACGAATGACTCTATCACCCTCCGATTTCTTCATAACATACCAATTTTTGGAGCTGGCAAATATAACTATATAAAACAATACGTGTTATGTATATTAATCTCGTCATTCTTTAAATATAAAACTGCATATTAATATTCCATATTATAATAAAAAAATGTAAGATCGATTGAAAAGTTCCAACAAGATCTATGTCATTAAAGAAAATGGAAACAGACCTATTAATAGTCTATGACATGTACATGTTTCTTTTTATTCTTTTATTCAATGAATTAGGAAGGGAACTTAAACTTACTTATTGAAATTAATATAATCACGGCTGAAACTCCAAATGGTAGGGGATAACAATCTTTATCACCAAAACAATACACGTCCGATCGTAGTATAGGAGCCACTGTCTTCGCAACTAGTCCTCCTATGCAAATATTAAAGTATAAGATACTGAAATAGAATGTCAAGTGTTTTTCTTGCTGGGGTAAAACGAACTGATCGCCACCGAACGCACTTATGCAGGGTCGTATGCCGCCTGTGCCAAGAGCTATTATGAAAAGACCAATGATAGAACAAATCCTAAAATATAAACAAACAACCAATATTATTTTTTTCCGATCAAAGATGCAACAGCAGGCGAAGTAATAATATTTTTTATGACAAATTGATATTAAAATTTCGTTACCTTTTTGATATCTCTATATTCGGAACAGCTGCAACAGTTAATATTATATTTCCAGCAGCATATACAAACATAATATACATTATAGTTCTAAAACAATATTAAAATAAGGAGAAGAAATTAAATAAATATAAAATGAATATTACGTACTTACTTAAATTTACCAAAATAATTGTCGGCTAAAATTCCACCAACAATAGGAAAGAAAGTAACGAAAGTTGTGAACATATGATAAATTTCTGTAGCTACCTCGTCTGAATAATCTAATTTACTTCTCAAATAAAGTGTAAGAACAGCTGAAAAAGGAATAAGATTTTTCATATTTGTTTCTATATACCATAATATGTAATAGAGAAAGGGTTTAAAGTAAAAAAGTTGAGTACCTCTAGTTAGTGAAAATGAAAAACGTTCGAAGGCCACGGTTAGAAGAATAATGATGACTGTTTTTGGAAATCTACGCGTGACCTGCAATATATATAAAATATTTACATATATGAAAATATATAATGTCATGAGTCATAAGAAAATATATGTACAATGTAAGGCATTATTTTTATTATTTGGAAAAGATGTTTATGAAGGTTTAAAATCATGAACATAATTGTTTAATATTAATTACTACGGAACACAATGTATGTATGTAAAGAAATATTAAAACGTTTTTGCTAAGAGTTCGCTAAGTGTAAAATTTCGAAGTGAGATCACAAGAAAATTATTATGTCTGAGTTTTTGCTTACAATATATTAATTAACTTGGCGCTACTTTTTACAGACCACAAAACAATGAAAAGAGAACTTAATGTGTATTAATTATTATAATTAAAGAAGAATCGTAGAAATATTTAGTATATATGTATATATATGTTTGAAATAAAACTATAAAAATGATCATAAATAATATCGACAAATTTCAAAGTATTAGAGTATCGAAAAATATTAAGTATCATATATATATATATATATAACAATATGTATATATAAATATAATAATATATATGTACATATGAACGTTTAAATTTTAGTTCACAAAAAAGACTAACCGGTTTCGCTTGAAGCATCTCATTGTTAGCCTGTGATTCAACCATATTAAATACAAACTTTTACTTAACAGCAAACATTCGAATTAATTAGCAACATTCACAAAACAAACGTTTATATTAACTAACTAAATCGAGACAGTTCGCATGGTAATAAATATAGATAGATTTTATCACTTAATTATTATCAACATTAAACAACAGAGGACCCTTGTAAATGCAGTGAGGTGAAACTGAGATAAAATTGAAACCCTTAAGACGACAATAGTGAACAATGATTTATCACCATTCGATAAGTCATTGTGAATATCTACAATTCCTACTATAAAGAAAAAGACGTTTTAATTCTGATAATGATATTTCTTATTTTAATTCTTCAATAAAAGAATGTCACTTTTTAAATTAAAACTGTTTATCAGGCTGCTGAAAGCCATTAAATAACGTTGTTGATGATTGAAGAATATCCATAGAAATTTACTTTATATAAGATTTGGAGTGAGACGGATGCTCTCTATATTATATATATACTCGTATTCTATATATATTTGAGCAGTATATTTTTTTATGAAGTTAGTGTTTTGATACATAAATGATGTAATTTTATTACTTTCTTAAATATTAAATTTATATATATTTATATGTTTATCCGTTGAAAATAATAATGGGTAGATAAGGTCTGTTATATTCATGTAAGATAATGAAATGCAAAATATTTTATATTATTATAATAACATTTTATAGTTATAGAAATATTTATATTTAAGTTTGAAACTCGATCTTCCCAACTTGTAATCTTATCTTGCTTATTTCGTTGAAGTTAAAAAAATAAAAATAAAAATCATATTTTTTTCACTAAAACTTTAACTTATTTAATATTTTTGTAACTGACTTACAAATAATTTATATACTTATAACTTTTAAAATAAATATCACTCCTCACGTTATTGTTCTTAAAATATTCAAATTAATTTTAAGTCGTTATCAGCGAAAATAATAGCAGAAATTTTTCAATAAAGAAAAAACTTTAAAGTCATATTAAGGCAAAATTTAAGTACAACCCATTATAATTTTATTTAAATCAATCCATGAAATAAAATTATAAAATCAAATAATATAACAATACATATGTAAATAGTTTCTAATCTCATTACTTAGATTAATAAGAAAAGTTTTGTTAATTCAAATGATTTTATTAGTACATTAAATTAATCATATAAAACGAGACAAAAATAAACAACAAAACACAATAAGCAATACCAATTTTTTTTATCTGAGATGGAAAAACTATTCATGTAAATATGGCGGATAACATTTGATGATTCAGTTGTCCGTTAAGTTCAATCGGAAGGAAGAATTAGATAGAATATTGCTAGTTCAGCCACGAAATTTGTATTTTGATTCCCTTTTCTATGACTATACATAGATGTATATTGTGTATCTGGAATTTGAAGAACATTTAGAATAGCTTACAAAATAATTTGAAGATACAAAACAATTTTAAATCACATGTAGGAAGTAAAGATTATTACGTAAAGGGTGCAAGGTAAGCATTTTGCAACAAGACGCCAATTTTTTCTATTTATTTTTATTTGTTCAAGTAACTTAATATAAAGTCAGAGACTTACATTTAGAAATATTTCATTTATTTTTAGTTATTTGCTACATATAAACAAAGGAATCTTTATTTTCTCAGATTTTCTCGAAGATACATATTTGGCGAATTTTGAATTAATTTCGATCCGGAAGCTTGGTTGATAATTCTCATTCTTCATTATATTATGAAATAAAAAATATAAACAATAATATTTTCTAGAAAAAATAGAAGATATGAATACTTAATGAAATGAGATTAAAATTATACGCTAAAGGAAACAGAAGTGGTGTGGATATAAAACACTTGAGGGATATAAGATAATAATGAAATTCAATTATACTAGTATAAGTCAACGACTTCGCTTGATTTAATGTATATACATAAGTGTGTCATTTTAAATATCTCATCTTCATATACAAATCTTTCTTCATATATATGCAAAATATTGTAAAAAAAGCAGTGGCATGTACATAATTATATTTCACATACAATCTCTTTCTTGTGCATGGAGGTCGAGTGAGTGCACCCGGTCATGCTCAAAATTAAATTATATTGTATAATAAATGGTATTTTGGAGTCTTTATATGAAAGGCGTATAATATTTGTATATATAACATTTCCATAACTATAACGTACTATATATATGATAGAATACTATAATCGTGAAGAGGTGATATACTTCTTTAATTATAAAAGTATTTCGTAATACTAATATTTCTAAAAAGTGAAATAATTAAAACTTGATGTAATTTCTGCTTAAGATATTCTTGTAAATAACATGTAATAACGGGTACCTTACAAATATAATTATTATAAAATTAAGTAAGTTTATATACTGATATGACAAATGGTAGCACTTGAATATTTCTAAACATTTTTTGTTAAAAATATTGAAAATAAGAACATTTTCTTACCTCGTATTACAAAATGTCATTTCGACTGGTTGTTGATAAAATATTGTAACGCTAGTTTGTTAAAAATTTGCGGTAGTGTAATAAAGTCTGGCTTAAATATTATTTTTTGTATTAATAATTAATTGGTAATGGTTTATTAAAGTTTTTCTTATAATGTTATATCCTAACATCATTTCAAAAAACACATATTAGCAATAAATTTATTTATTTTGATAATATCGGTATTAATTGTAATTTGTGGGATTAAATCATAAATATTCAATTAAATTTAGTAACGATATCTTATAGCTTTGTAAGTATATATTTAATTAACAGAATGGTTTTTGGATTTACTTTCAATTATGTTGCAGTTACCACGATCACGGATACGTAACCTGAAACTTTGTGACACTTTCATCTCGACCGCCCCTGATCTCAGTTGCTGAAAAATAATCGAAACGTCGGATAAAATGTCGAATAATAAAATATGTGCAGTAAATCTTAAAATAGAGTTTCATATAAATTTATTAGTTCTATTTGGAAAATGTGAAGTTTTATAGATTGAAATAATTGGTATACCAAACCAACTGTAATTACTGAAGTGAAATTTTATATACATTTTTCAAAGTTCATTTCATTTTCAAGTTATTAGTAATTCAAATAATGTAGAAACTATCATAACGCAATGAAATCTCTAATTGTTGTTTTCTTATTGATTTATCCTATTTCAGGTACTTTCTGATACGAATATTCTAATTAAAAACCTGAAATATCATATACAATTGTATCAATACTATTTATAGTGGGGTAATTTATTTATCCTTCCATCTTCACCAGTTGACTTATCTATTGTAGTAGTGTCAAAATTTTGGGCAATGTTCTACTCTGTGTATGATAAGAAATGAACGAAACCTTTTAAATGATACCTCCGATATAATATAGAATGCTTAATTCACCTATTCGGTCAAGATACGATCTCTTTATTGGTTAAACTGCTAGATTGCGATTTTCTGGAGATTTTACATAGGTTCAAATCAAACTCAATTTTAATTTGAGTATTAGCTCAATGTTGCTCTTAGGTTAAAACCGTAATTGAACGAATGTTATCTGTCTCTCTTATAAAATAAATCCCCCGAGGATGAAAACAGGAATTCTTCTGTAGCACAAATTTTGTTAAAATCACTTGCTACGGTTGCAGGAGGTTACTTGCGATATTGTTTGGTCTAAATTTATAAAAGCTTGGTCTGTAGATAAAAAGGTTGCTTCATTTAATTATGGTCTTATAAAATTGTACGATGCGCATGTTCTTTTAGAGACTGTTAATATAAAACATTTATCCGTTTTTGGCCAACTCCTGACTTAACAAACACGGAGATACAAATATACTACACATGCTAAATATATTTCATATTCTAAAATCTATAATTGGACAACATACACCAAAATATGGGATCGCTGGAATAAACTGTGTAAAATAAATAACATTACTATGTCTGCAATTCTGTGACTGAAGAATATTACTCTGCAGAGATCAGAAATTTTCTTAAACTTGGAAGTTTAAAAAACAAAAGAAGATATGTATTTTTGCTGTCAATTTAGATTTAAACTAGATGATCAGCTTATCTCTGAATTTGTTGCTATAGATTAAGCTTCTAGGTTTCTGTATATTGAATTATATTCCTATTTGCACAATTTGATCAAAAATTTTCTTTCTACAACTGAACATAATTATTTCTACAAGCTGAGTAATGAGCTACTTTATTTCAATAATATAACAATGTCTTTATATTGATACTATGAGTGTATGTATTTATTTTTTCTTTACAGTAGATTTATCTACAAAATAACCACTTCTTTTATAGTAAAATTTTAACACTTTTCTACTAATTTTTTACCTTTTTTTATTTTAAGGTTTTTAGTTGTTATTTCTCATTCTATTTCATTCCTTCAAAGCTAGTCATTTTAAAGTTATTTTACATTTTAACTCCCTACATATAAACTCTCCAAAAATCACCCTCTACTAAGATCCACGTAAAGAACACGTAAAATATTTACCTTCCTCAAATAATTTCTCGCCTAAGTGTACGACTATGTGATCCACAGGGTACAATTTGAAGTAATCAAGCTCTTTCATTGGATTTCCAAATTGATGAGATTGAAAAAACATAGATTATCCGCCATTCCATAGTAGCAGACCTCTTTTTACAATAAATTGACAAAAGAAAAAACGAACGGGTTTAGTTAGGGTTTAACGAACGATCTAAATAAAACTGTGTAAAAACGATAAGCTTATAATTTAATTCAAGGTTAAACACCCAAGTTACCAATAGTACAAAGGAGATTATTATACTAGTAATAAGTAGTTCTTCAAGCTATAATAAATAATTCTTAATTTTCTATGAGAAGATGAAATATAATATCCCTTGATAATAAACTGGGGACGATATGAGAATAGTTCATTTATGAGCACCTACTGAATTAGATCATTCAGACTTGATTTCGTTAGGACACAAAGTTACGTTTATATGTTCAAACATAATTTAACTCTTAGAGATGTTTTA